GTGAAGGCAGGGGGCTGGACTCGACCTTTCAGGGTCCCTTCCAGCTCTAGGAGATAGGATAGGTAGTGATCACAGGGTGTACTGTTCCTTCAGGAATGTACCAGGGTTGTGAGGGCTGGATTCAATGACCTTTCTGGGTCCCTTCCAGTTCTAGGAGATAGAATATCTCCATTCCTCACCTTTCTCCTGTACTTCCACCTAGTGAGGAAAGGCTGGGGGACGGCAGGGTTTACAAACTGCCGCCAGGCTAAGGAGGCTGCTGGAAGCCTGAAGACTCCTTTGGGGGCAAAAGCCCCCTAATAATGTGCACAAGGGTTTAGCCTGAATCCAGCTAGGCTCATCTGTTACCAGGGACTCCAAGTTAGGGGAAGGGGAAATACCACCTAGCATGAAAATGTGCGATGGTTTATCTCCACCCTGAATCCTGGCTGACAACTAAGTCTGAGGGCTTGTCTACACTTGAACGCTTCAGTGTAGGCCCTACCTATGCTGATTGGAGGGGTTCTCCTACTGGGCTCTCCTCTGAGAGGTGGTACCTAGGTCGAAAGAATTCTTCCAGCGGCCTAGCGCTGTCTGCACTGGAGGTTAGATCTCTGGAGAACTGAATACTGAAAGCAGAGGGGATTCAAGGGACCAGGTACAGAGAACAAGGCATAGTCTTAAAGGACTCCACACACCTCCACACTGAACAGGAGAAGAGCTTGTTGTCTTCACTGACTCCAATGCTCATCTGCCATTGCTGTGGAGAGAAAAGGTCTGAACAGTAAATCTCGGTAGCATTTACAGTCATGCCCAAAGCAATGGTGCTAGCTACACACATCGCAAGCCTCCCCCGAAACAACTGACACTCCGGGGGAGGGATCTCATGAGAAAGACCAAGACTGGAAACTTAAAGTCACATTCTTCATATTGTGGCTTTATTGCATGAGGAGGGAAAGCTTGAGAAGGGCAGAACATGATTCTTAAACGAAGGGCAGTGCTTAATTTGTGCCAGGGCTTGCTTGAGCCCCGGCACCTCTGGGCCTGGCCGTTCAGAGCCCCGGCGCCTCTGGGCCTGGCCGCATCAGTTATGAAAGTAAAAAAATTGACAAATTTTGCGTTGACAAAGGGTGATTTGTTAAAACCGCACATACACCATTAAACACCGTTTGCCACTTAATTACCCGTGGCTCTTTTTAATAGCTTCACTTCTAGCGAGTGGAATACAGGGGAACCCTTTCCTCTAGCTCCGCTTCTTGTCAGTACCAATGAAAGGGTGGAGCAGCAGCGGCCCCCTGCCCCACCCTAGAAAAGCCATAACCCCATTCATGCTACAGGGGCTGACCCTTCTCCAGAGGAAACTGCCACAAGAATCTAATGTCATTTTGTTCTGTTTGTACAGCAATGGGGCCGTGATCCACGCCTGGGCCTCCTACGTACTATTGCAATACAAGTAATAATAAAGTCTTCAAGCCTCTTTAAGAACAGAAAGCCTGTTGGTTGTTTGCACATAGATTTCCCCAGCACCAGTAAGGGGTTGGAAAATACCACGCTCTTCTAGAGAGAGTTCCTGCCCCATGCCCTCAAAAGCAAAACTAACTACAAAGCTATATAAACTTTACAGAGATCCACTTGCTAAACACAGCCTTATTGTAGCACACAAAGACTTCATCCACAGGTGAGGCTGACACAGGTGATTCTCTTTTGCAGACATGCAGTGTTTCCAACTCTCATGATGTTTGTTTGAACTTTTAAAGCCCCAGCTCCCTGAGTCAGGGGATTACAAAAGACTCTTGGCCTTTTTAAAAAAAGGCCAAATTTCTAGCCCTGGTGGTTGTGGAGAAAAGCTTGAATACACGAATCCTAAAGGCGCAACAATCAGAAGGCAGTGGAAAAGACCCAACATTTATTAATTTAAGTCAATAATTATTTTTGCAGGGGGGCTGCTCAAGATGTTTAAACACTTTGGGTTGCTGTGATAGAAACAGAGGTCTTTATCAGATAATTTCTATATCCAGAAAGAGGGATGCAATTGTTCCTTATTCTTACACTGCAAGATCTAGGAATCTAAATACACTAATGTTCTTCAGAGACCCAGAAAAATGGTGAACAAAGTAATTAGCTACAGTCATTCTACAGACAGACCTCTTGAGAGGTTTCTTATTCTACTTCCTTGAAGCCTCTGCACCTGTGTTTCTTAAGTGAAGTGTTCAAATAACTCACCTCATTGGTCCCTCCCTGAGACGCGTATGTGAATGTGCAGGTGTAATCCTCCTTGAAAACAGCAGAGAAAAGTCAGTAGTTTTTCTAAAACAAGATATGCTAGGTTACTAGCTATTCGTTGAGCATAAGCAATTTGCTTGGCATAGATTCATAGGCCTGGTCTACACTACGACTTTAATTCGGATTTAGCTGCGTTAATCCGAATTAACCCTTCACCCGTCCACACTACAGAGCCAGTTAATTCGAATTAAAGGGCACTTAAAATCGATTTCTGTACTCCACCTCGACGAGCGGAGTAGCGCCAAAATCGATTTTGTTAATTCGAATTAGGGTTAGTGTGGCCGCACACCACCGAATTAATGTGGTTAAATTAATGGGGTAGTGTGGCCGCACACCACCGAATTAATGTGGTTAAAAACCGAATTAATGTGCTTAGTGTGGCCGCACACAATCGAATTTATACAACCTGTTTCCCAAATTCGAATTATCTAAATTCGGATTAATCCCGTAGTGTAGACATACCCATAGATTCTAGGACTGGAAGGGACCTCGAGAGGTCATCGAGTCCAGTCCCCTGCCCGCATGGGCATTGTACAGAACATATGTAACCTGGAGAAGCTAGGGGGAATTTAGGTTCTGATTTGCCAAAAGCCCTTACATTTTCTCTCCAAGCATGAGAAAGTGGTGAAGTATTCACAATTCCCCCAGAACGGGGCTATAATATCTTGTTTCCTCTATGCACGGGATCAAGTTTAGTTGGGTTAGTACCCAAGCAGGGGCCTTGCTGCAAGCTGAGTCGGGTTGCCAACTTTCTAATCATACAAAACCGAACAAACCTTCCTCGCCGCCCGCTCGCTCCATCCCCCCTCCCTCTGTTGCTCACTCTTCCCCACCCTCACTCACTTTCACCAGGGTGGGGCGGGGGACTGGAGTATGGGAGGAGATGAGGGCTCTGGCTGGGGGTGCAGGCTCTGGGGTGGGGCCTGAGATGAGGGGTTTGGGGTGCAGAAGGGGGCTCCAGGCTGGGGTAGGGGTGCAGGAGGGGGTGAGGGCTCCAACCCGGGGTGTGGGCTCTAGGGTGGAATTGGGGATGAGGGATTTGGAGTGCAGGAGGGGGTGAAGGTTCTGGCTGGGGGTGGGGACAGGGATGAGGGGTTTGGGGTGCAGGAGGGTGTGGGTTCCCGGCAGCATTTATCACGGCTCCGGGGAAGCAGCCACCAGGTTCCTGTGGCCTCTAGACACATGGGTGGCCACTCCAGGCAGCTCTGCCTTTGTGCCTGCAGGTGCCACCCCCCGCTGCTCCCATTGGTCACGGTTCCCAGCCAGTGGGAGCTGCGGAGCTGGCCCTGGGGACGAGGGCAGAGTGCAGAGCCTCCCTGGCCACCCCAGTACCTAGGGGACGCAGGTGAGCAGCGCAGAGCCAGGGCAGGTAGGAAGCCTGCCTTAGCCCCGGGCCTCCGCTGCGCCGCCAACCGGACTTTTACCAGAGTCAAAAACCAGACAGCAGGCAACCCTTAGCCTTGAGGCTGCACTTGATTGGTGTGGTCCTTCCCTCATACAGCATCCAGTTCCGCTTGGCGACGCTGCTGCAGTGGGAGTCCTGCAGGCTGGGGGCCAGTCTCTGCAGGGCTCAGAGGGGACCCTTGTGGGTAGGGGTCATGGGGGGTGGCAGGGGTCTAGTCACAGACACGCAGGGGTGGGGGGTGCGGAGGGACTCATAGGATGCCTCTGTCCTGAGAACCTGGGGGGCCCACAGGACAGGCCTTTGGCAGGTGGTGGGTGTGTATTGGGGGGGCGGGGGGGCTACCTCTTCCTACTGAAAGGGGGTTACACATGAACACCCCCAAAAAACCACTGGGGAGGGGCCCCCTCTACAGCAACTCGGGGAGGGGCTCCAGACTGAAGCAAGGGGCGGGGCTACAGGCCCGATGCCCCGCCCCCCGGCTCAGGACTGCCCCTCCCCCCGGCTCAGCTTGCCCCCGCCGGGAGCCACTTGGCCGGAAGCGGCCCGGACCCGGCCACATTGAGACCCACCCCGTTTCCCAGTTCCGCGTCATCACCCCGCCCGCCCTGGCTCTCAGCCAATCAAAGTGGCGGGACGTTTGAGCGACGTGCGGCTCAGCCAATCAGGGCGTCGTGCCCATACACCTCCCCCCCCTCACCAGGCTCCGGGAGAAGGAATGGACCATCCCGCCGGGCCGCACGTCGAACTCGGCCGTGCTGGGCCCCTCTTCGGCCGTGGCGAACAGGAGGAGAACGGGGACTAGCCCAGCCCAGAGCCGCCAGGCGCCTGCTCCACTGGGCGCCGCCATCTTGGAAGAGATGCCTCCCTACGGCGAGCCGGAGGGGTCAATTCAGAACGAGGCCGAGCCGGATCACGTGAGGCGCATCCCTAGGCGGCCATCTTGGATGTGGGCAGAGGTACCAGGCTGGTAGATTAACCCTTTGGGGACATTCCCATTCTACCCCCTAGAGCCCTGAGGGCAACAAGGAGGGAGACCGGGCCCCCACCTTGCCATGAGCTAGGGTGGTGTGGGGGATAGTGCATGCACGAGGGCGCTTCGCTTGCACAAGGGCCACGGCCCATTGTGTGCACGAGGGCGCTTGCACAAGGGTGGTGGTGTTTGCACAATGGAGGCCCAGTGACTGTTCAGAGTGGGGCAGGTGGGCGGCTTTGCACGGCGGCGTGTTGGTGCGGTTCTGCGGCAGCAACGGCTTCCTGGAGCAGCATGTTGGAAGGAGCAGCACAGCGGGGATGCCGTCCGCAGAGCGGCACCGTGCAGGGCTCGTGGTGCGGCGTGGGGACGACGTTCGCCAGGCATGCGGCAGTGACGCCGGGGCAGCTTCTCTTAGCAGATGTTTGTGCCACTGTAGAGCTGTGGCACCGTTTGCACAGCAGGGACGGCATTTTCCTTCTGCCACGGTGACGGCTGTCTCAACTGGTGCTGCCGGGAGCGGGTTCGCAGAGCAATCGAACCGCGGCATTGGGTGAGCAATGGTGACCTTGCTCTAGGAACGCTACCATAGGAATGGCATGTGCAGAGCCGTTGCCAGGGTGCCCTCCATGGCAAGGGGCCTGCAGGGTCGTCGAGGATTGAACGGGTGAGATAATATCTTCTGGACAAACAGACGTCCCATGAAAGATGTTACCTCCCGCACCTTGTCTCGCTAATATCCTGGGACCAACACGGCTACAACAACACTGGCTTGAATTTCAGAGCGGTAGCCGTGTTAGTCTGTATCACCAAAAGGAACGAGGAGTCCTTGTGGCACCTTAGAGACTAACAAATGTATTTGGGCATAAGCTTTCGTGGGCTACAGCCCACTTCATCAGATACAGGCATGTTCTCTGTGTGTATATATATATATATCTTCCTACTGTATTTTCCACTGCATGCATCTGATGAAGTGGGTTTTAGCCCACCAAAGCTTATGCCCAAATAAATTTGTTAAGTCTCTAAAGTGCCACAAGTACTCCTTGTTCTTTTTACTGGATTGAATGGCTCCTTTTCACCCCCTACAGGTCAGTATGCTGGTCGCACACCAGAGGAGAACCTTGCACTGCTGCTCAATGCCCATATTTGATAACGAGAGGATTTCATTCCCCAGGGCTGTCAAATAGGCCAGCACTAAATTAGCCCCCCCCACCACCCCACCCCCAAACCATAAAATAAAAAATCTCCTCTTCCCTCCATCTCTTTCAGGTCAGTGTCCATTGGGTCTGGCTCAGATGCTCATGCAATGACCTTAACCAGCCCAGGCCCCCTGCTAAAAACGAGGGACTGGCTGCTCTTTGACAGAGGTGCTGCGGAGAGCCAGCGCTGCTGCCTGTAAGCGCAGAAATCAATCTAACTGTTCCTGAAGCTGGCTGTGAAATGCTTGATTTATACCATAAGTACAGCTTGCGATTTCATAGAGCGAGGGGCAAATAGAGCTGAAGGAGCTGCTAATTCTCTCATAAATCTCAGGAGGCTTAGCATGAAGGACACCAGCTGGGTTGAGTGTTGTATGCTGCAAAGCAAATTGTCAAACCAGGCTTCCAAGGCACAGGGCAGCTTCGGCGCAGCGTCCCGAGAATAGGCCAGAACAGCGACAGCAGTAACAAGGCTCATTGAGCAGAATTCTGGACTCCCCCCGCCCTTCACACATGCTGATGCTGCTCAGATTGCATGGCTCTTGGAAGCCTGGCGAAGAGACAGGTGGATGGCTGCCGTTGGCATGGGCAGGTGTTCGCTGCCTGAGGTCCAGGGGTGACCTACAGGTCACTCTTTTGGGCTGGTACATTGACAGATTTGAACAGTCGCAGGCATGAAGCACCAGGGGCCTCCCTCCCAGACTCTAGCTTTCAGCTGAGAGCTTTACCCCTCGCCCACAGCCACCTGCTGCCTCGGTAACAAGCAAGGAATACAGCCTAGAAGGGCGGGATTGATGGGAAGGGGCTCCAAGCACATGAGACCTCACTGCAACAATAGATGAAGCTGCTATCCCCTTTCTCCAGCGGGGCTCAAAGGGCTTTACAAACACCACGGCAGGGCATTTGGTCGGTATTATCACCCACCTGCTGTGGATGGGGAAACTGAGGCACAGAAATGGGACGTGACCAGCCCCAAGGTGTGTCAGAGTTGAGAATAGTGCTCTGTTCTCTTGCTTCCCAGTTCTAACCATTGGGCAGTACTCCCCTTTTGCTTTACTCAAACATTGTTGGGCAATGGTCATTTTAACAGCCCCGTGGGTTTTTGGTTTTGCAAATACCAAAGAAAATGAAAAACAAGGTGTAAAATAAAACAAAAACTCCCCTGCAGTGGCAGCTGCCGCCTGTGAGGTTGAGCCTGGGGACCTAGTGCACGGGGTAGCAGCAGCACTTGGGTTTGGCCCAGCTGCCCCTCTGTCATGATGGTGGGAGATGGCTGGGCCAAATTTGAGTGAGTAGCGTTGCAAGCTGGCGCATAGGGCCAAAGAGTATGGGGTGGGTTTGCATTGCAAACTCCCCCCACCCCGGCTTCCTACTCCACTGGAACCAGCATCTGACCCTCCTCTGGCTGGAGAAAATGAAACCACACAAAATTCCCCCCAAAAATAAAATGAAAAATGATATAGAGAATTTGATGGGGGTTCTAATCACTTTCTTTCTCCCTGGCATCATCATATCCGAATAAAGAGGGCCTGGGGAGCAAATGTAACGGGAGCTATTTATATGGCTTCTTGCCTTGTTGTTCCTGTTTGGTTGTAAATACATATCTTCAGGACAGTGAGCTCTGCGGTCTTAGATCGTGCCTGCACAGAGGCAGTGCTTTAATAATACAGACTCAGATTACAGGCACTTCTACACCTTCCCGTCATCATCTTCGTGGTTTTGTTGGCAGCCGGTTTGGCACGGTCTCCACGGGCTTTTGGGCTTTAGCTAAAGAGGAAAATGGGATCTAACAGCTAAGGGAACTTGTAAGGTGTATAGAAAGCTCCTACGGAGAAGCATTTTTAATCATCTTTCAAACCCACAAGGAGACTGGTTTTCACACTGAGAGGAAAACATTCTTTATTTTATGAATACGTCGGACAGGCCACTAAGCCTCATTCAGCGATGCTGCGGCGTGACCAGAACAGGACTTACCCAGGCTTGCAAGAGCAATTTGCTGCACAACTTTTAATCGCTTCTAAACCCATGTAAATCGCAGCTAAGAAACAGCCCAGAAATCACTGCCAGGAGCAAAAAGAATCTCCATGCTGAAGACGAAGATCAAGTCATTTAGACTGTGGGAAGGAAAAAACCCCACGCAGTATGTGAGGCCTTCTGCCATGCAGGCCCAGGGCAGGAGGAAAACCCAGCACTGGCTACAAGACGGGATAGCTTGCTTGATTGGCCACACCACAGTGATTGTTGGCTCCTTTCGCCAGCCGGATGTAACCTTTTTCGCCCCATAGCTCAGACCAGCTGCGGGAAGATAAAGTGAAGAGAGCATGAGAGAATCTCTGTGGGAACTGAAGGGCGTTTGAACATTATAATGAGAAAGAAGTTGTCCCAATATGCTAGACCAGTGGTTTTCACACTGCGGGCACTGGGTCGCGGTGGCTCTGGTCAGCACCGCCGACCGGGCTGGTAAAAGTCCCATCTGCAGTGCTCCCGGCTAAGGCAGGCTAGTCCCTACCTGTTCTGACACCACACTGCGCCCCGGAAGCGGACAGCAGCAGGTCCGGCTCCTAGGTGGGGGGGCAATGGGGCTGCACGCGCTGCCCCCGCCCCGAGCACCGGCTCCACACTGCCATTGACCGAGAAGTCTGCCTTTGCACCCCCACTGTGCCGCTGCCCGCGAGCCGCCCGAGGTAAGCCCGTGCCCCAACGCCACGCCCCAATCCCCTGCCCCTGCCTTAAGCTCCACCCTAAACCCAGAGCCCCTTCCTGTACCCCAAGCCCCTCATCCCTGGCCCCATCCCAGAGCCTGCACCCAGAGCCCAGACCCCCTCATGCACCCCAATCCCCAGCCCTGATCCTCCCCCAAAACCAGAGCCCCCTCCTGCACCCCAAGCCCCTCATCCCTGGCCCCATCCCAGAGCCTGCACCCCCAGCCCAGAGCCCTGACCTCCCACCCTGCACCCCAACCCCCTGCCTCAGCCCAGAGCCCCCTCCCACACTCTGAACCCCTCATTCCCAGCCCCCCCCCCCGCAGCCAAACCCTCTGCCCCAGCCCCGAGCCCCTCCCACACCCCAAACCCCTCATCCCCAGCTCCTTTGGGTCACGGGCATCAACAATTTTCTTCAACTGGGTCCCCAGAAAAAGAGTTTAAAAACCACTGTGCTAGAGGCCAGCTTCAAGGATGCTTTGAGCATCTGCCTAACCAGCTGTCCACTGGCTGATCTCAGGTTCTCCAGACCATCCAATGAAGGCACCAAACGCTTGTTCTCTGCAGCGGGATGCTGTGCATTGGCACGTCCCTTCTGCCTTCGATCACAAATGGAATAAATCTGGCAGCCTCAGCTAAGCCATTTCTCCAGAATACCCCTCCGTCAACTAGCACGTTTGGCCTTCTCATTTCAGGAGCCGCCAGGGAGAGGGTAGGGAAAGTAGCCATGTGGCACTGAGGCAGTGCCCAGCGCTCAGTCCACGTACGCCTGGCTCCTGACAGCTGCTTAGCCCTTTCATTTTGAGAAGGCAAAAATCCAAAGACAGGCCCGGAGCGAGACAGATCTCCGGGGTGGGGGGGTGCAAGTTTGCGCGAGTGCCCATCCTGAGGCCATGGGAATGCGTACGGTCGGGGAGCAGGGTGAAGGGTTGTGAGTTCACACGTGGGCACCTGCATGCTGGGGGGCAGGATTGAGTTGGCA